AGATTAGCAACTTTTTGTAAGCCAGGCAGATAAACGAATTGTTCCAAGAGTTAAAAACATTAACGTTACTAAATGTGCTGTACAGTAGTCTGTCTAGGGATAGTTGGTGCTATCTCAGTTTCGGAGGGAGACGAATTGAATGTCAACACACATTCAACAGACATTGGACAATATTAAAAAACAAACGTTACTGAAATACAGAAAGTAATATAACAACATTAATAAACTGTTCGAACGAAATGCTAGACTATCTGTCAGGTGGCATTATGACGATTGGTGGCAATCTGGTCCAAGTTGCGCTTAAAAGCCTCGACGGAGGTGGACATGACGACATCTGCAGGCAGAGCATTCCAGGCCTCGATCACTCTGTTTGAAAAGAAGAACTTCCGAGTGTCCAGCTTGGCGCCAGTTACGCGTAGTTTAAGTGGATGACCTCGGAGGTTCGTTGTGGTCGCTAACTCAAATAAATCAGTAGGTACGAGACAGCAGTCCTGGCCGCGCCGTATACGGAATGTTTGTATAAGGTCGCCTCTTAGCTGTCTGTAACTCAGTGGAAAGAGGCCGAGATTGGACAATCGGGTTTCATAGGGTAGTGAACCCTGTCCACTTACGAGTTTGGTTGCCCGCCTCTGAACTTTCTCAAGGATGCTGAGATCTTTAGAAGTCCAGGGTTTCCACGCCTGAATAGCGAACTCTAGCTGTGGCCGTACGAAAGTCCGAAAGACTTTAACGAAGCAGTCCTCATCAAAGGTAGAGAAAGCTCTCTTAACAAGATAAAGGACTGACATCGCGGACTTGGCTACCTTGGAGCAGTGAAGCGACGGTTTTAGAGAAGCCGTTACCCATACCCCCAAGTCTTTCTGGACGTCTACCTCCTGCAATGGTACGCCATTTAGGTGGTAAACCCTCCGGTTCAGAAATCAGGTCCTGCCGACTCGCAGGACATTACACTTAGTCACATTAAACGGCAAAAGCCAGTCCTGTGACCATTTCTCGAGTCGGGTCAGGTCTGCCTGCAAGCGCTCTTCGTCAAATTCAGTTCGGATGACGCTCCAAAGTTTAACATCATCAGCAAACATGGCGACATCACAATTCAGTTCACTGACGCAGTCATTGACGTATATAATGAATAGGGTAGGGCCAAGACCGGAGCCTTGTGGAACACCGCTTTCAACCGCTACCTCCGCCGACTGCCTGTCACCGACGTGGACACTTTGAGAGCGACCGATCAAGAAACTTTGTATCCACCTCAGGAGATTACCCCTCAGGCCTGTTCGGTTTAATTTGTACAGGAGACGCTGATGGGGTACACTGTCGAATGCTTTCTTAAAGTCGACGTAGACTGCGTGCACTGCATTGCTGCCATCGACTGCCCGGGTCCAGCGATCTAAACAATATAGTACATTCGTCACGCATGATCTGCCTCTACGAAATCCGTGCTGGGCATCGCATAGCAGATTATGCTCTTCTAGGAAGTGCATCAGTTCTCGCTTTATTATTTTCTCCATAATTTTGCAGCAAATTGAAGTAAGGCTGATTGGTCTGTAGTTGTTTGCTAAGACCTTGCTGCCGCCTTTATAAATTGGCGTGATCCGCGCTGTTTTCCAATCGGAGGGCAAATAGCCTGCTTCGAACGAAGCTTGGAAGAGCATGGACAGTGGTTTGGATAGTTCTCCAGCAAGTTCCTTCAACAATTTGGGCGGTATGTCATCCGGCCCATCTGATTTAGACTCATTCAACTTCAACAGTTCTTTGCGAACAATAGCTTCGGCGAAAGAGACGTGCTCAATCGTTGGCCCGTCCACTATGTCGCAGTCGGGAGGGAGAAATGCGCTTTCCTTCATAAAGATGGACTTAAAGAACTGTGAAAGGTGCTCTGCCTTTTCTCCGTCTTCACTGAGTTATAGGTCGTCACTAGTTTTCAATAACGGGATTGGGTCTCTGTTTCGTGTGCTTCTTCTTATGTAACCATAGAACAACTTCGGATTTTCTGCGGCTCGATTTAGTAGGTCTTTCTCAAACGTAAGCCGCGTCCCGAGGATTAACCTCCTAACTAGGTTCCTCTGTGCTTTGTATGCATTTAACGACACATAGCTCCTATCCGAGAGGACTTTCCTCCATAACCTCCGCTTTTTATTCACTTCTTTTTTTAAAGCTTGTGTTAGCCACGGGGGTCTGCAGTTTAGTTTCTTCCGTGAAATAGGACAGTGGTCTCTGAGAAGAACGTGCAGTAACTCACTAAACCAGTCCCAATCCTTGATTATGTCACCGGAAAAAGCTGATTCCCAGTTAATGGTGTTTAGTTCAGATTTCATTTGGGCAAAGTCACCGCGCCAAATGTTCCTTCTAACCCTGGTGGCCTTTTCGGGCAGAGAAAAAATGGAGTACTCCCACGACAGTACGACGTGATTGCTTCGACCTAGGGGGGTAGACATTGCACCTCATCAACGCTGTCCAGTGACTTCGTAAGGAGCAGATCCAGACAGTTTGACTGTTGCCCTTCGCGCACCCTCGTCGGAAAAGAGAAGTGTTGAGTGAGAAATAACTTGAAGGTCATGCCCAGCAAACGTCGGTCGAAAGCATGGTCTGGACCAGATGCATAAGCTGAACTCCAGTCGATAAGAGGTGCGTTGAAGTCCCCATGATTAAGACTTCGGACCGGATAGAGAATCTCTCCAGGTCCTCAATCAGACGGGCGTCCACCGTGGGATCATTTATCGGTGGTCGGTAGACCGTCAGAATGTCAAGGCTCGGTGAACCCGGTGCTTTTATAGTTAGACAAATAGCCTCAGAAGTACACGAAAGTTTATCTGTTTTGGCTGAGGCCATAAGCCCGTGTTTTACATACGTGAGTACGCCTCCGCCCTGACGTCCTGACCTGTCTCTTCTAAACAGCTGGTATCCTGGTATAGTTAATTCACGGTTGTCTACCTGCTGGTTCAGCCAAGTTTCTGTATGTGAGCTAATATCCGGGGATAGATGAGATAGATGGATCTTGAGCTCGTCAACTTTCGATAACATGCTCTGCACATTTGTATATAGAAATTTCCGTTTGCGATTTGCGGCTGGCAGATAAGTAAGTTCGATGCGTCTAGGACTTTCGCCCACTATTCCAGTTGCGCGGTCATCCGGATCGGGCCCGTCCAAAGAAAAGATGATGGGCGCTGTCTGATTTGGTTGTTGTAGATAACCAAATTCCGTTCTCCTTCGTTGAGTCTCTTCCTCAGCTCCAGAACTAGAAGACGACGTTTCAGACTCTCTGCTGGCGAGTAATCCGGTTGAAAAAAAAAACGCCGGAGTTTGTGCCTTTTATTCTAAAGCGCCGAGATAGAATCAACCCAGCTTGCTTCTTACAAGCCAGCACAACTTTGAGTGGTCGGGGGCGTGTTGGTGTAGGCAGATTGTTTGTCCGCTTTCCGAGACGGAAGGCTTTGAGTACTTCAATTGCCTCAGTGTGTTCCAGGATATTGTTAAGCAAGCCTTGGAAAAGCCTTAGATCTTCCGAAACCCGGTCTTTAGGAGTGTTGGCATTAGATTCAGGAGCCCCTGAATAACGAGACATTGGTCTCGTGCGATATCGTTCGTATATTTTGTTGTTGTATTTCTCTCTGGTGGATGTGGTACTTTAGGGGTATTAGCTGGCGGTGGTGGAACACATGCTATATCGCGGTTTAGATGATCGATACCAGTTTTAACCGAATTGGAGGGGGCCGTTGATATGGGCGGTAGCGAATGATGGTCTGTAGATTCGGCAATGGCCTCAATACCACTACTTGTGCTGGACCCATCCGATCCAAGAATTTTCTGGGCGTTACGAACTGTTTTTGGACTTTCGGCATTAACCGTTTTGGACGGGACTGTTGTCGTGGTTTCTGGCTCGGGTGCTGTGGGAATATCACTTAGAAGCGGCTGTTCATTTTCATTGGCTTTTTTTACAATCAGATTTTTTTTTGTTTTTCTGTTTTCCTCGTTGACTGCTGTCATTTTTATTTTTTGCCATTCGATCATGTGCAGCCGTATCTGTTACAGGAGGCATTTCTGAAGAGCCTTTCAAAGGAGGTACTTTTGTTTTACTCCTTGTTATTCGTCCAGTGGGAGCACTTGTATCGTCAGGTGCGTATAAGTCATATTCTAGAAGAGCCTTTAATTTCCCAATCTCTTTCTCGAGATGGTTGACCCTGGAAGCTAACAGCTGGCACCCATCACAAAGCCTATTTGCGTATGGCTCGCCCGTATAATCCATGTAGTTTTGTGGGAGGGCAGGCGACCATGCCGAGGTGGCCGAGCGGTCTGGGCTGCTGAACGAACTTTTGAAGGTCGCGAGATCGACTCCGCATGGAGGCATATTTTGAGCAGCAGCGCACATGTTCGTAGTGCTTTCTTAAATTGTGTAAAAAGGAAATCTTCGGGAAAGAATTTCAGATGTGACCGTTTTCTAGTGGTCTGTCGAAATAACTTGAGAGTGGAAGGTCTGACGAGCGTTTTAACTAATTTTACGTTTGAAAGTTGCTAACGATCTGACTATAAACAGCGCAACAAGCAGAAATAATAATAAGAATTAATCGACTCAGCCGTTCGTAGACGTTGCACGGGACACTAAAAAGCACTTTGAGACAGTATTTCGAAACGGTAGGTGGTGCAGATCAAGGCTGAATTCCGGTGGTAGGTGAAGACTGCGGAAAAGGTGTCCTGGTCGTGAGATAAAATGCCGATGAAAGCGAAGGCAATTAGGTGTTCTTCAAGCCAATTCTTGTGGAGAGCCTTGTTCTGTGAGAGAGGAAACCGTTTGGAAATTTCCTTCTTGCGAGTCCAAAATTTAAACCGCGCGGTTGATATAAGCCAGTCTATCCCATACAACGAGTGAGGTAAGGACCGTTAAACGGACATGTCTGGTCGGTAAACTCGTCAAGGAGTTGCAGAAGCTTGCTCTCCCAAGCGCCAGTGAACCACCCCCTGCCAAGCTCAGCCGCGCGGGCAATTTCGATCGGTGGGTCTCTCGCATGGAGGACTACCTGCGGGGTATCGACGCCAGTGGCCATGGTTCAGCCATTCTGGCCCAGCTTGACGACGACGTCTACGATCTGGCTCGGGCTGCCGGCATATCATCCTCAGTGCCGGGCACGGAGATCTTAAAGAACCTCCGAGGAATCCTCTGTGGGACGACGCCCTCCTGGCTGGAGCGCTCCAAATGCCACCGTCGAACACAAAAACCTCCGGAAGGGGTACTGGAGGTCCACCAGGCTCTCCGTCTCCTCGGGCGCCGGGCCTACCCCACCATGAAGGCCGCGGACATGGAGCAGATGCTGCTGGACCAGTTCGTCCACGGTGTGTCGGACCCAGAGGTTCGGAAGGTCCTCCTCCGTGCACAACTTTCTACTCTGGACGCTGCCCTTCAACTTGTCCAACAAGAAGAGGCGCTTCAGGCCGCTTCTTCCGTCCGCCCCCAGGAACTCTTCAGAGCCACCTCCGTGCGCCCGAGTCTCACGGCCGATGCCGGCACCCAAACTCCTTGGCGTCCGTGCTCCTGCGGATCGTTTTCTCCGCGGCAAGGCAATTGGCGCTGACAACCGCCCCGTCGCTCCAATGGTCCCCAGAACCGTCGGCCTGTCCAGTCAATCGACGTCGGCCCACAGGACAGTAGCGGTAAGTACTACATTGTTTCTGATTCAGCTGTTTCATGCGTTGGTCCTACTATTTACCCTTTAGTTGAAGGCTTCGTAGGCAGCATTAGTCTTTCATGCCTAGTGGACTCAGGCGCTGGTTGTTCTTTGATACGTCAGCAGTCCTTTTTAGAGTTCCAAACGAGGATTAGGTATTGTGATAGGCCTAATTTTAAACTTCATACTGCAAATGGCACTCACCGAACACAGCACTAAAAACAATCAAATTTTTGAAAAATAGCATCATTGATAAACATAGAACAAATAGTGATATTCTTTCTTTCCTCCCGTTATCGTTTTTATCGGCTATGTAACCTGACACAAAATATCCCTTAAGGAACTAAAAATAACATCACTTTCGATAAAACCCTACATATAAGTTGTACGTAAGTCTATATTAAGGTCATAGTAAACATATATACAACTATATTAGATCATAGTAACCAGTCGGCCACTACTCTTATAATGTCATATTCACAAGAATAAATATGATACATGATTCAATATTATTTTGACAGCTTTGATTGTGACTTACCATTGAATGTTTCTTACTCCTGATATGGAATGGAATGGAATAGGTTTATTGTAGCGCCCCTTGGGCACTGTCAGTCCCCTTTGAACTTAGGAAAAAAACCTAAAACAAACTCGTCAATTTCAACTGCACTTTGACTTCATTTGCTTCGGGTGTCTGGTTAGCCAAAAGAGCGCGAATTGAGAGTTTGTTTTAAGTTAAAAAAAACCTCAGTTCTAAGGGAAAATAATAACAAAAGTTTCAAAAAATGACGATATGTACAATATATATATATTCATCTTTTCCAGCCCTTAGTCCAGACAGTTATGGCAAGCCTCCAGAAAAACACGAAGTAAATGTGCGACCGCCCCTTTACAGCTGGCCAGATAGACTGCAACCACTAACTAGAACACACCAAAATTTACCGAACTGGAAAATACTCTCAAGGTCAGGTCGATATCAAATTTCTTCAATTTCCATGAAGGAGATATTATTCATGCCCACCCAGAAACTACCAAACTGCACACTTCAATTTTAATGTTGTACATGTCGTTCCTTCTTAAACTTTTGTGATTATTTTTCCTTGGAACTCAGGTTTTTTAACTTAAAACAAACTCTCAATCCGCCCTCTGTTGGCAAGACAAATGCAGTCACAGTGTAGTCGAAATGGATGAGTTTGTTTTAGGTTTTTTTCCTGTGTTCAAGGGAGACTGACAGTGCGCAAGGGGCGCTATAATAAATCTATTCTATTTTTTTTCACTTAATGCTGTAATTTCTTCACATTTTTTCTTATTTTCTTTATTTTTTTATGTACAAATAGGAAGTTCAAATGCGTAAGCCTATTTCCCTCAAATACACTGACGGAAACTCTCTGGTCGATACTTGCTAGCACCTGTTCTGTACTCACCCATGTGAACGTGGCACATATTCGCCACTTTCCAATTAGAAAAATATGCACAAGTGATTTCAAGAGCTCGCAAACAAGCTCGTTCAGCGTTTCTGCCGGTATCTGGTCCCAACTTGGAGAGTTGCATTCCTCAAGCGCAAGAATTTCCATCCACACATCTTCCATGAAATCGATGCCTTCCATCACTGGGCAATATGGTACACTAAGGTCAGCCTGCTCGGAGTCCCTTTTACCCTTGAAGACAGATGCAAAATCGTGATTAAGTCATGCTGCTTAATTACTTCCCCCTATTGGCAAAGCGCATTTACCGCGTTGTCCGTTATATGGTCAATTCCAAACATCCAGGAAGAATCACACACCAAGCCTCATTCCAAAAACGACTGCTCTGTATCATTTGAAGGCTTTGAGTCAAATATATCCTCTAAATGAATACGGAGGTCCTAGAGACCTTAGGCGAGGGTGAATAGACAATGGACTAATAAATGCACTTCTACTTATATTCTTGAAATTTGTATCGCGTGACAACTGCCGTATCGCATCTTTTTATAATATCTTTGCGGTCTCGAGGCCAACTTTTCTAACTCTTCGCATTTTGTTTCGATTTTGCTAACAATTGGCTGTACTGCGACCTTGGTGCTTAAGTATCTTCTTCTGCGCTTTGATTTTTTGCTGACTTTTTTATTCTAAGATTGCAATCACGGGCGCCTAACAAAATTTTTGCAATTGCCACCATGATTGCAAATCACTTTCCATTTTGCAGTAGAAGGCGGAAAAACGTGGACAGGAAGACGTTTTCCACAACTGGGTTTGATGTGCATTTCGAGCAAAATCTCGGGTAACTGAATGAAAACCCAAGATTTTATTCCAAGATATTATCAGTTGACTAGAAAACGAGGACCCAGTAGCAGTACTTAAGGGTGACAATGGTGTAGTAGTCTTCGGAAACGGCGAGAAATTTCAACACATAGGTGTGTCCTTTGCCTCGGTACTCACTAAGAAAAAAAAAGAGTTTCGGAATCACAATATCAGCAATGCTGCTGTAACCGTTAGTCCCGGCCTTGAATATATACTTTTCCTAACATCTGATCAGTCTAAGCCAGTTTGTTAGGGAAATGAGGCTTTTGCCCATTGAGCTCCCTATTCATATTGATTAACGGTAATAGAACCAATTGTTGCACCAGTAAATCTGGAAATTAAAAGGTTAACGGTGCGGAAACTTCTAGAAGGCGCGCACCTATAGGAACGCACGCGCCAAAATCTCCGTATTTATGCGACAGGTGCTTAGTCGTAAGTTAGCTTTTTATAAAAGGCATGCGGTAAATAAATTAATATAACCATAGATTAATGAGGATAGCTCTAACTTAAGTTTGTTTAACTCTCCCCCCTAAACCTAGCCCCAACGAATCAACAATGGCGGATTCAACCTTGACGTCTGGAGAAGCTTTAAATATGGGCGAGGATTAACCTCCAGGAACCCCGTGGCAGGCCGCCGCCCTTCGGACGTGGGACTTCCGTCGCCGTCTTCGCCGAATCTCTGTGCTCTCCGCCAACCTCCCCTGGACAGTCACGCCCTGCCCTCGTTTATTTTTGTAATTAGGCCCCCCTTAGTTTCTTTTTGTACGTAGGTCCTTCAATAAAATAACCACTAGTCACCGTCTTCTCCTGCTGGTCCTCGCTGACTGTAAATTTGCGTCAGACGGGAACTTTACAACGGCAAATGTGAGCCAGGTGCAAACTGCCGCCGCTAAAACAATCGTGATTATATGTAAAGTAGTTTCTCAGAGAACGGTCGTCTGAACTTAAAGGATTCAGCAGTTTTGGAAAGAACCACCGCATCAGGGAGGCCATTTCATGCCCCTATGGCCCTGTGAGAGAAGGCGTTCCGTCGGACGTCCGAATGAGCCAGCTTCCTCTGCAGTTTGAAGGGATGACCATGCAGACGGTCAGTCCCGGCGAATTCGAAGAATTTATCAAAGTCTAGGGTGCACTCGCGGCCTCTGACTATCCTGTAGGTTTGAATGAGATGGCCGCGCAGTTGCCTGTAATTGAGAGGAAATAGATTTAGTCCGGTCAGCCTAGTTTCGTAAGGCAGATGATTAAGATTCTTGACCATCTACGTAGTCATCGCCTGTACTCTTTCCAGTCGTTGATAATCTTTCTTCAACCACGGTCGCCAGGCCTGGACTGCATACTCTAAGTGAGACCGGACGAATTCCCCATAGGCTTTTCCGAACATCTCTTTATCGATCTGCACAAATCCTCGCCTCAGCGCAAATAACACCCTTATATTTTAAACAAAAAACTGTCTCCACTGACGGCTTTCATCGTCAGTTTATTGAGAATTATACTGTTATCTATTTTACCCTACATAGCCTCATTATCCAATTCATATTTATTCATAGTTCTGTTTTGCCACCTACGAAATCATCATTTGCCCGTTTTTTTTCAAGTTTGCATTCTGGTATTGAGTAAAATTTGCTAAGTATAAATTGTGCTGTCTGGTCCACCAATATTGGCAGCTTTCAGAAATCGTTTCATCATACATAGCCTCATCCATATATCCTCGAAGTTTCGGCAGTTATCATCCATATAAATATTTGGACTTAAGTCTTGTATTGCGTTTTCGGCATGAAACCTCAAGCAACCCTTCGTCGAAATCTGAAGGAAACTAAACTTCATCTGAAACCCATTGTTCATATGAAAAAAATTGATCTATGGGCGCTTGATGATTTTAACAACTTTATGTCGCGTTGCGGATCAATTTTTTCTGTCCTTGGTGCCCTTCTTGACGGAAATTTGCCAACGCTTACGTCTCAGCAGTGTGAGAAGCTCATGCCTCTCATTAACCTGGTTGCGACTGAGACGGAAGACAGGCACAAACGAAGTTTCAACTTTATATTAAAAAACGTTCCTAAGAGTAGACAGCCAATAGATGTCGCCTTTCAATTCCTTTTTTCATGCGGCTTCAACTGTAGGGTCGCGGAAGCTAAAAGGCTTTCATCTAGGAGCAAGAATCCACCCATTCTTGTCAAACTCTTTTCATCGATATACGTGGATTTTATTTTCTCCCATTTGGAGCGCTCGACTCAATATCTCAGGGGAAATAAACTTTTTATTAGTCGAGACCGGACTCCACAGCAACGAAAAATTTCTCCCCCGTTACCAAACGTAAAGCCACCCCTGAATTCTACTCAAATGTCTTTTTCCTCTAAAGCAGTTCCTCCATCTGGTGTAGACCAAATCCCTCCACTATCTACAGCGGCCCCAGTTCCATCTAGCTCTTCGACTGATCACATTATCACAGAGACGGTTAAAACTAGCCTCTTTAAAACTCCCCCACGGAGCAAGGATTGTTCAAATGCGGCTCCCAAATTTATAAGGGAGCTTGATCTTAGCAGTAAAGATGAGCTAGTCCTTGAAGCACAACCGGCTCCCAGCACTCAGAATAGTGATATGGTTAATAAACTTACATCGAATCCACCCCGT